TGGGGAGAAAGGTATTTTAATAATGTAAATTGGGGAGAAAGGTATTTTAATAATGTAAATTATGTGAAAAATAATGCGTTTTTCGAACCACCAAGCATGAGAGCATGTTCTAGTACACCCCCAAAACAAAATCAAGACTTTGTAAAAGAGCATAATAGGACCCCTTTAAGTTATTTTTTTTGCACAAAAACATAATTTACCACTTTTCCGAAAATATTTTCTAACAAGTGTTGTGGTACTCGACTGAACACTCACTCATGTGCGTTGTGTTGAAGTGAGTCTTCTATCACATGAACACAACACAAATGCATTTTAATGCTCTTGTGAACACACAATGCAGATCAACATTTTCATAAATATATATACTGTATATAAAAAAAGTTGTAAACTATGTTTTACTGAGCAAACAAAACGCTTAATAAAACAGAGGTTAAAAAACCACTGAAGTCACATGGAGTACATTGACAATGTCTTTCCTATTGTTCTGGGCTTTGAATGTATAAGTTGCATTGCTGCCAATGGAGGGAAAGCTCTCAGATTTCATCAAAAAGATCTTCATTTGTGTTCAGAAGAGGAACGAAGGTCTTACGGGTGTGAAACAACACAAGGGTGAGTAATTAAGGACAGAATTTCCTTTTTTTTGGGGGGTGAAATAAATCTTTAATTCGTCAATGGTTCCATCTTCCAACTGGAAAAAAAATGAAAGAAGCTGTTTTGGTGCTCAGTGTAAACTGGCTAAGTATGTATTAAAATATATACTATCAGATATTGCTCACAGAATGTTATTACAGGACAGAAGAAAAAAGCTGCTTTAGAACTTTACTTGCTAGCTGATGTAGCATTTGGACCAATCAGACACACATTTGTTCATTAGATTTAACTAGTTCACTGGACGAACAGATTAGTTCATGGCAATTTAATCCTGCTACATTTACTACTGGCAGCTGATATAAATAATTGTAATTAATCATAATTAATTGTAATTAGTTATATACATTTCCCTTTTGAGCTAATTTGCTACACTGACAATGATGTTAGCTTGCTTGGCAGAAGTTAGTTACTTGTTTCTGTAAGATTTACAGAATCTCAGACACTTTGATCAAACACCTCATACACGTTGATCATCTGATATACACTCAGACATTTTGATAAACTGTTAAGCCGATGCCATTTGTCTGGACCAGAGGAGGGTCACAGTCTGAAAAGACAAAGAACTCTTGCGAGAATCAACGTCTGAACACTGTCTAACAAGCCTCACATCCTCATTCAAGACAACACACCCAACTGAGAGAGACAAAAGTTTCACACCTTATGAATGATTACACTACTGAAAGGAGTGAATTTATTTCCTTATGAAATTAACTCCTCCCCCTCTCTCCCCTCATTTCCATCTAAACACAGGACACTACAGAGATCACCGAAACCACTATTCTTAATCAGAGTTTATAACAATGCAACTGTTCATGTTTTGATGTCATTTGAAAGGTCTCTGTGTGTCTGGTAAAAGGTCTCATTCTCTTACCAATAGGACAGACAGCCATCAAGATTAGAGCATACTGAAAACAGACTAATCCCAGTGTCTTTCATGCAAATTACCTTCTGTCCCAAAAGGTGATAACTCTGCTTGATCAATGCAAATTCTAATTGTTAGTCCCTGTCTCCATTTCGGGGGATGTTTATCTTGGTCAGAGTACTTAAGGAAATCTTGCAAGAAGATCGGGGCGATTCTGTAGTCAGAAGCCCATAGCGTAGAGTGTCCACACACTCTGTTATGTATCTTTCTAAAGTCAGGTATGCATCTTACTCTTAGATTCATCTTTGAAAATTGGATGTCTTGTATCAATTTGATATCTTTGAAATTGGCTATGTCAGTGTTTCCCAACCTTTTTTTAGTCGCGGCACCCTTTGGAAATTTTAACAAACTTGTGG